AGGTCAGCGCTGATTGGCCTGATTTACTCAATAATTACTCCTTTATTATAAATAATAGAAAAAAATGGTTCAGAACTTTTCGACTCAGTTTTACTCCTTCTACCTGCCTACGAGAGATTGTACGGCAATTCTGGGACACCCGTATATATGCCTTAAGCGCATAGGACATATAAGTCTATGCTTAGGCGTAAAAGGCCATTACTTTTGACTTGCTCGAGAGGGTTATAAAGGTTCGAGTCCTGTATGGATATAATTTTTTTATTATTTTATTTATATTTTTAAAGAGAAACAACAACAGTTGGTTACACTAAAGCATAAACTGGCGTTAATTAAAGATAGCTTAATTTAGAGAAAATGTAAGTTAAAAAATATGATAAATTAAGTTTTATAGAAGTATGAAGTAAATTACATTATAAAAAGGTCTACAAATTGTTAGCGACTGTCAAGTCTCTCAACAAGTCTATACATGCTACATGCATGCTATCACCTCTCACTATCACTTTCTCTCACCTGACTCTCGGACGTCTATCTTTGTTGCTCTCGGCCACTCTCTCGGCCTGCCGCGGCCACCAATCAACTTACTGCTAGAAAAGAAGAGAACTACTCCACGACTATTTCTGTCTCTTTTAACGAAGCTTTACCTCCTCTTAGACGAATGTTCCGTCTATTATATAAGTCTATGGTCTGGACACAGTTGTTTTTAATTTTATTGGTTGTGACAAAATATGGCGGAACCAATGAGATATTTTAAATTAATACTTCACACGCGATAGTATTCAATAAGAGGTTGAGCAGAACAGAAAAATTATTAGGAATAGAAATTAAAAACAGAAATTAAATGTAATGCACAATACAAAAACAAAATATAACATATAAATATATATAAATATAGGCTGTATATTATGCAACCATGACATACTTCCTGTATTTATATGTTATATTTTATGTTTTGTCATTGTATAGTACATTTAACTTTTATTTTTAATTCTTATTCTTAATATTTTTTTTATTGTGCTCA